GAGGTCCCTCTCAGCTCTGACATCCTGGGTTCTACGTTCCAAGCCCTCCCACTAGCTCTGACGTTCCACACTCTGTGTTCTGAGGTCCCTCCCAGCTCTGACGTCCTGGGTTCTAGGTTCCAAGCCCTCCTCTAGCTCTGACATTCCACATTCTGTGTTCTGAGGTCCCTCTCAGCTCTGACGTCCTGGGTTCTGGGTTCCAAGCCCTCCCACTAGCTCTGACATTCCACGTTCTGTGTTCTGAGGTCCCTCTCAGCTCTGACGTCCTGGGTTCTACGTTCCAAGCCCTCCCACTAGCTCTGATATTCCACGTTCTGTGTTCTGATGTTTTATGACTCCTGGGTTTTCCTCCTGGCTCCCTTGGGCCACATTCTGCCTCCACTGCAGCCCCCCTCTGTCCTGCCACCAGGTCTGGGCAGGGGTGGCTGATAGCCCCATTAGCCTGTTCCCTACTGGCCCCAGCCCAAGAGCAGAGTTTGGCAGGGCCCCTCACCCCGTCCTGGCTCTGAATGCCTTCTCCCTGCTTTTCAGTCAGCCAGTCTAGAGAACAAAGTCTTCTCAGGAATCCACCTGAGGCCCATCTCTAGCCCTCCCCCTCACTCCTTGCTAAGTCCTGACTTCCGTCTCCCTAGGAAGCCAACCCTTCTAGGGTCACTCCCTCTCAGTTCCTCTGCTGCCACCCCGACTTTCATCTGCATGAGAAGGAAAGGGAAACAGTGACACCTGCCTCGTCTAGCCCTTGCAGACTGGCCAGAGGGCATAGGAGTGGGCTGCTTTGGTCGCAGCTGCCCCTCCTGCCCACTCAGGGGGCTGAGTCCTGTGATTGTGACCGGGCCAGGCCAGGGATTGGGGAAGGCCTCACGCCTCTTGAGACAGCCAGATAGAAACCAGGACCAAGTGTTTGTCCAGATCCGTGTTCCGGGGGCGGGGCGAGGAAGAATGCTCTTCCCACCCCACCCGAAGGCTGTGCGCATCCTTCAGCTTTAGTTCCCTCAGACTCTCCCCACATCCAGCCCAGCTGTGCCTCTCTCGATGGCCAAGTCCACCCCTGGCTCGGCCTGAAACAGGCAGAAAGCCCTGCACTGCAGTCGGGCGTCCTGGCACGGAAGAAGCTGGGGATCAAGCCAGGCCCAGGGAAGGGTCTGGGGCTCATTCTATCTGGAGGAGGCCCTGGCAGCCTGGGGCACCGCACTCCCCCCAACCCTGGCACCTTCCTCTCAGCCCTTCATGATCCGTGCATACAGATGGTGAGGCACAGACAGGCCACGTGCCCTGGCCTCCATCCCCTCCTAGGCCCCAGACCCTCACTCACCTTCAGGGAGTAGGCCAGAGCAATGAAGCCCAGACAACAGAAATTGAGGTAGACGAAGTTGAAGATGGACCAGAGATAATAGTCATTGACCTCCGTGGTGTCAGGGTAGATTTCGATGACAGTGGTGGGGTTGGTCATGGTCTTTTTCTCCGCCAGGTGCTTGCCGGGCCCCGAGCCCGTGCCGGTCCGGACGCTGTCGGCCTTGAAGCTCTTGGCCTCCATGGGACACAGGGCGGGGGCCGGGCCCTGTGCAGCTGCTGAGGTCGTTGCTGAAGGCTGCAGGGCTGGGGGCTTGGACACACAGGCGAAGCAGCCCTTTGGCGGGGCACCTGGAGGCCGGGGGATCCAGAAGGCCCCGTCCAGGGGACAGGACGGGGTCACCCGGGCTTCCTGAGGGCCCTCCGTGATGCCGGCTGGGGGTCAGGCGTGGAGCTGAGGACCGGCCTGGGCAGCCCTATAAGAGTAGGAAGGGTGGAGGAAGAGGACAGCAAGGAAAGGGA